TGAGGCTCGTGTTAGTTAGCGATTTCCGAATTCCACAAGCGTCTTTAATGTCGGGTCATGCCAGGTTCAGGGCAGAGCAGGTCACGAGACTTTGAAGATGCTTGGGAGCCGAACTTGGGAGGACAAGGACCAGGTGTGGCTTTTTAGGTAGATCGTGGCTCGCACAATGGTAAGGTAGTATCGAGATTCGATGGTCTGAGTGTTTGCGACAAGGTGTTGTAGGGGATGACTCTCAGGGGTTCTTCTCGTTCATGGGGTAGCTGATTGAGCTTGTGATCGAGGAGGTGATGTTGGTGAAGGACGCAAGAATAACTGACGTAGGTAGGCAGGCAGGTAGGTAGCTACGCCATGAGAATGGAAGTGGGAAACCCAACGTACTAAGTTAATAAAACTTAGGTTGAAACTAAGACGGGAGAGATAGCGGCGATGACACCAAGGCGCGATGCTAGGCCACCAAGCTACTGCCCTGGATCGATCTCCGAAGTCGACCTATAAAAGCCATAAAGGCAAAAAAGATGGGCGTGCCTTCCCGTATCCAGGTCAAGGTGGGATTGAGTGTCGAGTGGGGGTTGGATGTGTTTCTGAGAAGGAGCGACCGAGAGAGGAACCTAAAAGTCGAAGGAATGAAGAAATCGAGACCGCGGCATTGATTGGAAATGAAATATCCCGACAAATCGGAGATCTTGAGTCTACTGTGCTCCGTAGAGGCTCAGAATTGAAGTAAACCGCGAATGGCAAGTGGAAGGGAGATCGACAAGACGCTAAGGGTTGGGTCTTGCTCTTTTTCTTCCCCATTAGCAGCATCTGCAGTACGGAGTACCTATCGACGCGGCAGGAAGGGGCCCATGTACTAATATCGTGTACCTTCTCCTTACAAATAATTGTCTTTGGTTGATGCGCTTTAGAAGAAAGACCCTGATTCACCGAGACGAGTGAGAGTACCTTTGGTGTAGGGGGAACAGCGTGGGAGAAACACTACTGAAACAAATTGCCGATGGGTATGACGGGAATGCATACAAGCATCAGCTGCGTCTCTCTACCTACCTACACAGTAGTTATTCTGTGCCCAAGAAATCAACGCAACAAGAGGAAAAAACAAGCCAAATGAACCCAGGAACCAAGGCCGTGGACCTGAACCTTGCAGCGAGTCCCCCTGAAAGGCTTAGATCAGATCCACCAAGTGTCCCATTTTGGATCTACTTCCCGTTCTAAAGCGCTCCTCCGCTTGGACTCTGGCTTGTGATACTTGGGCTGGTTGCACAAGAGCAATTTTGGCGTCGAGGTGAAATGAAATAACAGGGAAGACGCTGGTGAGCATTGATGAGCCATCAAATAATCAATCACTTCTCAAGCCTCTAAAACTGCCAACGCTACCCCTTAAAGTAAGGAATTGCACTTGATACCACCCAATCGCCCTATTCTGGCAACCACTTCATACCCATGTCCTTGCTTCCCGCCTGAGCAATATCCTAACAGGAAATTCACAAAAGCAACTTCAACTTTTTCCCGTGTCATTGACTCACTTTTAGGTAGTTCGGCCCACCAACTCCACCTCTACCGTTGCCATGAGCTGCCAAGTCATTTTTAACGCCTACATACCTTTCTTGGAGCCATGCTATGGCCATGTGGTTTTCACTGCAAAGGTTTCACTTCATTCAGCCATAATTGGTGCAAGGGGGGCATGATATGAACTTCTATCAACCAGATTTATCCCATACAAGACATGGCATCTATGTATTCTTTCAGCTCACAGCCCCTCTGTCTAAGCTCAATGCCCCTCATTGGGGTCGGTATCATGTGAAGGAGAGACAGGAAGCGCCAGTGGAACACATCCTCGACCCATCTCTGCCACGGGGACGGGAGGGGGTGTTGGTTCTGCTCTGCCCGATGACCTCGCGAGACAACTGTGCTGATCATCGTTACCGATGAGTCGGTGAGTTTATCCTTGATTTGAAGCTGCTGAGATATGTGATTGAGTCTTCTTGGGAATACGTTATCTTATTGCTATACTCTTCTCAACTTGTTGAACACCAAACTACCCTCAATATAATCGAAACCATACGCGAGGTGCAATCATACCACTTTCTGATTGTATTGCAATTCTAAATTCCTCAAAAGACGAACTTGCTGAAGCAGAGTATTAGAGGCCTGCCCTTAACAACTTGGCCTGTTCATGTTCCCGAATCTTTCTATACGCCTCCAAAACTTCCGCCCTAGCCTCCTGCAACTCCTCTCTTCTCTTCAGACTTCCCGCAGCCTTGGGGATATTTCCAACATCCGCAGTAGCATCTTTAATCTTGATCTGTTTTGTCAAATTCTTGTTTAGCTCAGGTGGGGCTTGCGCCTGGTCGTGCACAGCAATCTTGGCTTCCGCTCTCTTCTTCTTCAACTCCTCCCAAGGGTCGTCGACCTTTCCACCCTTTCGTCGTGCTCGCTTGCCTGTTGCTTCGTTGAGTGTTGCTCGCGCAATTGCTGCAGCGCCAGTAGGGTCTTCGTCGAGTTCTCGCCCGATTTCTTCGTCTGCTTCTTCCTCTTTTTGCTCCTGAATCTTTCGCTCCTCTTCTCTCCATTGGGCGTAAAGTTTGTGCATGTTTCTCTCCTTTCGAGTGCGGTAGACCTTGAAACCCTGCTCATCCTTTCCATCCTTGATGGCAGTCTTCTTGGTGAGGCCTGCGACTGGTAGTGAAGCATCGACTCGTTGAGCAAACGCCCTTAGATCTTCGCCTGGACGGATCTTAAGATCCTCTGCCTTTTGTTTTGCGGTTTTTGTATCTTCGCCGTCGTCGAGGCCAGATCTCACTTTCTTCCCCTGTGCGACAGACATGAGTCGTCTAAAAGCTCGAGGTGCATCATTGTCCTTGCGAGCCTTCTTGCCTTTCTTCGTCTTTGGTGCAATATCTTTTGTGTCTTCTGCATCCTTTTCCCCCTTTCCTGTTGTCGCCTTCTTCTTCTTTCCTACTTGTAAAGGTCGTGCTCTTTGAGTCGGAGGGAGGTTGAAGCTATAAAGAAAAGTCAGTTGCGCATATGCAATCGGGACTAAAGATCGACGCACTCTGCTTCGTCGTCTCCCCTCTTTCTTTTGTGCTTGTGAGGCATGTTGAAGTGCGCGGGTATATCTTTGGGCCTATCGAGGGCTTTTAGGAAGACTGGAAAATGGGATTTCTGTAGCGGCGTCGCTGAATCGTGCGTGAAACGGTCACAATTGTTGAAGACAAAACCTGAAGATGCAAGTTGCCAAAGTTGAGTTGCACCAAAAATTCTCTTATCGATAAGCGTCTCGAACCAAGTTAACCCCCACGGTGCCCAGAATGAGTACAGTTGCCAAGGAATAGCATAACCTCGGAATTTAAGGCTCAGTAAATAATGCGCCTTATTTTATTTTACTGGGATACAGTAGACAGCGAGTTTCCTTTCTCAATCTAGGAGTCTTGGAATGATATTGGTAGTGGAGGCCGAATTATCTCATCCTCGCCATCGTCTAAGTGGATCCACTGTAGAGAACTTCCAGGCTGGGTTGTAAGACAATGGGTTTGAAGTTATGATGTTAATTGTCAAGTTAAACAATTGAACGGCATATATCCTTTCGGTGTCCCTACTTATTCCTTTGAACACTATGTATCTTACATCATTGAGGCTGTTTGAAAAGTCGCTATTGGGCCAAGTACGGCAGACAAGCGTCTAAGAGAGGGGGGTGTAAGTGAAGGCTAGAATGAAATGGGCTGGACGAGTTATGAGGTTCATATCACATTCTTGTAGAACAGAGGCAACAAAAGTAATTCAAAGGCTTGTATTCAAGAAAGTAGTAAATCGTCCCCATCCTCCTCCTTATAGCCGTCCAGATTCCACCTCGCGACTGATGAAACCGGTCAGCCTGGTATAAAAATGGCGTTCAAATGTCGGCGTCCCGTCACTCAAAGCCAGGTAAACAAAAGATTAATCAAGCCAATTGAATCCTCTCCTTGCCGAATCATCTCCATCTTCCTCCAATTGGTAATCCGAGAGCGAAATGCTCAGCCAAGTACTGGTATCTTGCATTTGTCGAGTTGTACAAGTTCGCTCTCAAGAAGCCCAGTGGAGTAATGAAACCGTGAGTTGAAAATATCCATCTACATGACAGTGCAGGTCAGGGGGTAGCCGGGAGTTTGACCGTTGGCAGCTGGCTTCTTCATGACGCTGCAGGTCAAGGGATAGCCGGGAGTCTGGTTGTCCTTGGTGGGCTTGGCCATGACGCTGCAGGTGAGAGGGTAGCCGGGGGTCTGGGCGGTGGTGTTCTTGGTGGAAGGCATCTTGAAAGTTGGGGTTGAAAGACTTAGAAAAGTCGGAGAGTGTTCTGTATTGAGAATGGTGAAAAGAGTGAGTGTTTGTGTGTGTAAGTGAGTGAGTGATTGTTGTGCGTTGATGAGAATGAGATGTGAGGGAAGATGGCCTGGTCTTTATACTTGGACTTGGCAGACTTTTCGTGGTAAGATTATCTAACATGATGGCGATAAAAGCGATGTTCGCGAGGAGTTGCAGTGTTGGCCGTGAAGCCTGTGATCCGTGCAAAAATGCTTAATATTGTTCTCGAGATGGTGTTGCTGTCAGACAAAAGAGTATCCGCCGCTAGTCCAGCCACCAAACTGTCACCGGCTTTCGGATTTACCCCTGGTTTGAATTATACATGGAATTGGCTTTCAGACTGTTTCCAATACCCGAAATCTGCTCTCATTGTAGTATCATGTGGTACAGCAATTGCGAACGCACGGGGTTTGCATGTTGGTATTCCTTTGTAGAGTGCTTAATATTGTTCTGTCGCTTCATATTGTTCCTTGCTATATCGCCACTTTTCCCCTGCCAAATTTACTGGAGCCATGCGGTGTTGTTGAGTTGGTGAGGCTTTGAAATTCTCCCGCTGACCCAATTGCAGCAATTGATATCTGAATGGTCATTCTTCCAAGTGACACGATATGCATCACGGCCATGCCGAGACCTGCCAACCCAATTTAACATGAGAACAAAACTTAGAAACGACTAAAGGGAAGCCTGTACATGTTAGTTAGTAAAGTCCCAATGCTAAGAATAGCTTGTGGCTTACCATTTGCCCTTCAATGTGATAACGACCCATGGTGAGCCTGCCTCATCCACCTCCTTATCCACGGTAGTCGAGAAGCAAATAGCACTCATTATGCCATCTCCAAACTTCTCATTTAGAATAGCCTTGTAAGCATATCCATAGTTCTGAACAATCTCGTACAGTCGGTAGATGAGAGGCTCAGTGGGAGGCATGGGCCCAGCCTGGCCACGGTTAGGGAAGCCCGTTAGTTGCGCAGCCAACGTCTCCTTTGGAAGACCAAGGATCTCCGATAGCTTCTCAACATCCTCAGGCGACGCGGTGGCCTGTCCGTAGAACAATGCTGCCACTGCAACTTCGCTACGGCCTAGGTGCTTTGCAATTGCCTCAAAGCTCAGGTCCTTGGCGGCCTTTCCGTCAAAGAGAGTCTTGGAGAAGGCTGGAAGCCTATCGGCGATGGTTGACTGTTGTTGAATAAGCATGATTTCGTTTTGCATTTGTGTCACAGTTGAGCTGTCTTACATCCAGAGTGGCGATGCGTCCTTCGTTGGCCATTATGACTGTAGAGATGAATGTGATATGGTTGTTGATTGTTGTAAGGAGGGAGGTTCAGTCTTAATACATCATATATCGAAGAAAGGCATCAGGTCAAAGTCAAGTCATGGCGGAGATGTTTCCATTCCTGATACAACTTGCGGGGTTATCGATCTCCATGACGTGTCTGTCAATGGGTTGCACTAGGTAATATCAAGAGTGAATTCGGTGATATTCCGGAGACTCGGAAATCTGATTAATCTGGATGTTTTTGGGCGGATCACAAGAATGATTAGATACGGGTGTTGATCTCCATGATATCTTTTTAGTCTCTGAGCGTGGTAGACGATCAGAAGGCAAAGGGTAATATCGTTATAAAAGAAAATTACTTTCTTCATTCATAGATGGCGTGCCAACACGGCCGTCTAAGATTCACACACGTTAGCCTTCCATACATAAGTACATAACTTACTAACTTAACTATACTTTAACTCATTAGCCCGTCCGACTTCTGAGACTCGCTGACATCATCATGGCCTCAAACTATCGCCCCGAAACCATATTCAGCTAACTTCAATTACAATGCCCATCTCACAGCGCATAGCCAATTCTGTGACTGGGACAGAGTCACGATAGCATGATATCAGACAGTATGCTTAATTCAACATATCGACACGGTAAACTTAATGTGAAAGTGTCGACAAGTCACGAAACCTTCCTTAAGCTTTAGGAAGCAATATATTAAGCAGCTTCAATCCAAAGTAAGCACAAAGACAATCTTTCCCTGATACATGGCAGGCCTATACGTCTATCTCCGTCGTCAATCTCTCAATGAGATCATCATCTATGAAACAACCACAAGAAACCACTACAACGGCAATATACTTATCATCCCAAGAGCAAAAGGCAACAAGAATGGTCTCCAAAAATGGAGTACCTCGCCTGAGGGCCAGAAGAAACTCCTATATTCTTGCCTTTGGTATGACAGTAGCCGCTATCAGGTAAGCCTCCAGTTCTACTATGCGTTCTCTACTCCTGACCGCGATCAGTTCAATAGCCCTGATGTTCGCTGCTATCCTTGCTACCACATCCATGATCTGGCCTTATAATCCTGAAGTACAAGCAGGCAGTCTTCACATCAGACGTGACTCGGGACCTGACGACCCAATTCCAATACCATGCCACTCGCATAACGATTATTGGAAACCTAAGCCTTTCACCGATGCTATCGCTGCTGGCTGCATTGGCATCGAAGCAGATGTCTGGAAGGTCCGGGATGAGCTCATGGTCGGCCATGCCAAGGGCGATCTATCAACCGAAAAGACTTTGACGTCCATGTACATTCAACCTCTAGTGAACCTCCTTAAGGTTCGAAATCAAGACAGAGATCCAGGGCTTCTGCCTCGAGGTGTATATAACCGCGAACCCAACCAAACTGTGGTGTTGCTGGTGGACTTGAAGTCGAACCCGGATAAATCATGGCCATTGTTACTGGAGCAGCTAGAGCCGCTTCGTCAAAGGGGGTGGTTGAGCCATGTCAGCGACGGCAAGTTTGTGTCAAGGCCCATCACAGTCGTGGCAACTGGGAAGACCAAGTTCCGCCTGGTGAAAGAAGCCAACCCTTCACACGACGTCTTCTTTGATGCACCACTCATGTGTCTAGCCAAAGGTCAATACGACAAGACAAACTCATACTATGCCAGCACCTCGTTGGAAAAATCGATTGGCAATATTCTTGGACCAGGGAAGATGGAGTTGATACGCGATCAGATCTCTCAAGCCCATAGTCGAGGTCTCCTGGTTCGATATTGGGGCATGCCAATGGTTTCACCGATAGTCCAGAGACAAATTGACAAGAGATTGCTTAACGAAGGCGTTGATGTCATCAATGTAGGTAGTTTGCAGGAAGCAAAACGTACTTTTGCTGAGAGGAGGCACTCGAATGACTGAAGCTTGTCCCCGAAGTAGCTGAAGAGAGAATCGATTTTCTATAGACATCGAGAAGAATATAATCACAAGAAGAAAGAATGTGAATAATCTTAATACAACTTTGTACTAGTATTGCAAGATCTTAGACCTGCCATTTCTTCAAATTATCTCAAGTGTGTCTACCTCCGTAGGAATGGTTAGAAATGAAACACTGCAGTGCAATTCTAGGCAAATACAAACACTTTCTTGAATTGAAGAGATATAGTCAACTTAGGGCGCCCCCAAATAAGTAGTTGGCACATGTTCTGGAGACTTTGTCTTGAGTAAATGAACTTTTGGTCCTGAGGGAGGGGGTGAGTAAGTGGATAAGGTAGCATTCATTGGCAATCCCCAGAAAAGGAAATGTCTCCACTAAAAAAATGTCAAGGCGGTCAGGTCAGTCCCGCGGCAGAATTTGGAGATTTTTCCTATTAGCACCCAGTAACATTTGCCCAGAAGCTTTGCGCCGACTACCAAACACGACAAAGTCGCATTCGACATTTACATACGCAAAGATGGTCACAAAAAGCAAACTAAAGATGGCCCTCGCCGCCGAGAAGGGCACAGACTTCAAGAAGCTCAAGCTCCTGAAAAAGCAGAAGGAGGCTGAGAAGCGCAACGCTGCTGCTCGCGGGGCAGACAAGGACGACGAGAAGAAGAAGACCATTGAGATTGAGGCTGAGTTTGAAGACGATGATGAAGAAGAAGAGGAGGGAGATGATGATGAGGAGGACGAGGAAGAGGAAGACGAGGAGCCTCAGGTTTGTTATGTACCATCTCGCGCTCGAGAATTTCACTAACAGAATTCAGTACGATTTGAACGCCATCAACGACAGCGACGACTCAGATTCTTCAATCGAGCTCGAGGAAAAGATTGTTCGCAAGCCAAAGAGAGATACACTCAAGAAGAGCGAAATCGCAAAGCTAGCAGCTGAGAAAAAGGCCGCGGCCCAAGAGGACGAGGACGAGGAGGAAGATGAAGATGAAGAGGATATCCCCATGTCTGATCTCGAAGACCTCGAAGATGAGGACAAGGAAGACATCATTCCCCACCAGCGCCTCACCATCAACAACACAACCGCTCTCCTCGCCGCGCTGAACCGCATCTCCATCCCCACAGACAAGTCCGTCCCATTCGCCACCCATCAATCCATCATCTCAACAGACTTGACCTCTGAGGCTATCCCCGACGTATCAGACGATCTGCAGCGCGAGCTCGCCTTCTACAGCCAGAGTCTCGAGGCCGCTCGCTCTGCCCGCAAGCTTCTCCAAAAAGAAAATGTTCCCTTCTCACGTCCCAAGGATTACTTCGCCGAGATGATCAAGGAGGATGCCCATATGGAGAAGGTCAAGGCTAAGCTTGTGGAGGAGGCGTCCAACAAGAAGGCTGCCCAGGAGGCTCGCAAGCTGCGCGACCTCAAGAAGTTCGGAAAGCAGGTCCAGGTTGCTAAGCTCCAGGAGCGACAAAAGGCCAAGCGTGAGACTCTTGAGAAGATCAAGAACCTCAAGCGAAGTAAGCATTCCCATTGCTCACCAAGCCTACCTTACTCTTTACTAACAGCCATTCCCAGAGCGCTCAGAAACCGGTGGTGCTGGTCTCGACACCAAGGAAGCCGATATCTTCGACGTCGGTGTCGAGAAGGAAATGAAGGCCCACAACCCTCGCGCAGGCGCTGGTCGCGGCCAAGTCGGCGCTGGAGCCAACCACAAGCGAGCCAAGAAGAACGAGAAGTACGGCTTCGGCGGCAAGAAGCGCCACGCCAAGTCAGGCGACGCCATGAGCTCCGGCGATCTCAGCGGTTTCGACCCCAAGAAGATGAAGGCCGGCAGCAGAGTTTCCAAGTCTCGGCCCGGCAAGGCGAGACGGAAGGCCATGGGCTCTCGGTAAAGACAGGGAGAGACATTTTGTTGATAATCGTTGGTGAGATCAAGGGCGAGACTGGCTTGCGTGATGCATTGCTGTTGAAAAGAAAGGCTAGAGATGAAGTACAAGGGCTGGCGTTTAGGGTCCTCTTGCATGTAAATCGAAACCATTTGGTCAATATTCATATTTTCTGTCACAATACTATTCATACTTGCGCAACGTGATTGATCTCAATGGCTCGGACTCGATTATCTTAAAAAGTCTTCACGTTGTGTCTACAAAGTGTTCGAAGTAATCCACTTCATCATGGTCAATCACTTCAGGAGCCAGGTATTCTGAATTTTTGGTCATTTCATCTATACCCAAAGGAATATATAGCAGATTCTGATTTCGACTGCATATCAAGTCTGAGCAGTCCCGATAGCCTCCAAGATGATGCCCTTTTATGGGCTCAATCACCAAGCAGACTGCACATCCAACCCTGTTGAACATGCAAATCAGTATCCACTGAATCAATTTTGCTGCCGACTCTGCCTGTGTCGTCTTTTTGCGAATCGCCATTGCCTCCTCCGTCGTTCTCCGTCGTCAAGTCATATCCAGATGTCCATGCCCTCGAAAGTGGTGCCATCCGAGAGCCCCCAGCAGTCAAAAGGTATCTATATACATAAACGAGCACCATTGTCGTCTGCTTAATGCCCGCTCGCGGTCGAAAACGCCAGAGCTCAGAGATATATAACCCCCGAGCGGTTGCAGCCACACCAATAAGAAATAATTAGAAAAAGGGAACCTCCAAGGTGAGAGAAGTGTTAGATAAGAGACAAAGAAACGTTGAATGTGCAATGACATGCGATGATGCACCCAAAGTCAATGACCGTCAATGATGCCCAACCCCGTGCGCCCATGAAAAAGAAAGCAGAACCAGTGGTATCGAGAAGAAACGCCATGCGCTCATGACACGCTTTGCTGTACAATGCATTTGCGACCCTTGAAAGAATAATGCGTATGAATCAAGCATTGATGCAGCAGGATGCGCCGAGAAGATGCTGTTATGAATTGATTGTCGTGTAAATCATTGTGCTGAGGCACCACCAAACGAACGATCTTACTGTGTGGCCGCTACACACCAGTGGCGGTGGAAAGCCCAAGCACTCTTCTGGCACTCTTTGCTGCAGTATTTGGTGCGTCGGCA